TATATATATATATATATATAATTTCTTGTTTTTACACATTCAAATGGAAAATGTCAACGTAATCTTCTCAGGTTTTATTACCTAATGCGATAAAAATACAGTCTAATAAAAATCACTGCCCACAATAACATGTAAACTACATTAAATATTACATCAGTATCGATTTACTTTGTAAATAAATCATGATGCATATATATAAATACAAAATCAATCCTTTAAGTAATATAGGATGTTTTCAATCTGATGAGACAAGTGTCGTTCTATCTTTCTTGATATTCAGAGAGTGATAAAGATAGAACGACACTTGTGTCGACTTGTGTCATCAGATGGAAAGCATTCGTAATAGCATTTCGGAAATACCGAGAGAGAGAACGCGCATAATTTTATTAAAATTACTTACCAGACTATCGCTCAGTAGCTCGAGAAACTCGTGCACAGTGGCCTGCTTACGTACGCGAAATACACGATATAAAGCGTGCTCTGGGTCGTAGAGATCATTTCCTTGGTGACCGTCAAAGCTATCCTCGAGAAGGACATTGACGGTCATGTACAAGTATGCTTCCGTTCTTTCCTTTCTTCTTATTTGTTCCAGCCTCTTCTCCTCTTGCAGCCTCTCCACCAGCTAGACCAACAAAATTAAAATTATCCACGTGTGTACTCATTTTGTTCTCATTAATCATTTTTCCTCGACTGTCTTTTTAATTTATGTGATTTAATTCTCTTTCTTTTTAGAAAAAGATTATTTCTCTCAGTATCATGCTTTTGAGATTCGAGAACGGAATCGTATTCGAAACATCAAAAGAATGACGGTACAATTTCCATTTTTGTAATTTTAATTTTGTTCATCTGCCGCTATATCGACTACCAAGTCAAACAATTACACAATGAAAATTATTTGGCGGTGAGTGATGGTTCCCAGTTATCTCTTCCTGGCTAATAAATATAAGCACACAAGTAAATATACAGTATTAATAATAATTTGGTGATACAAATATGTGTGGTGGATAAATACGAGAGATATATATATATATATATAAATCCTAAAATAATCTTTTAATTATATATTGCATTACCACCTCGAGAGTATTCAAAATAGATATAATCGCTTGAATATAGAAATAATTAATCTTAGCAAAACGCGCAACAAGGTATTTTAACCATGCATATATATATATATAAAATACATATTTAATAAAATTTATATTATAACCACCACCCATGCCAAATAATTGTAACAATGTAATGTGTAACTATAGTAGTGTGGAGATGCCTTGGATATTTCTAATACTTGAATCGTGTAAGATAGACAAGAATAGCGGTAAAAATAAATAAAATTAACGCGGTTTCCGACTGTGAAATTTTTTAGTATTCAACAATTTATTCGTTATTCTTTTTTTTTCTTTATTTTTATATATAAAATAGTGATATAGCATTTAAAGGTATCTCACGATTAAAGCTATTATAAAGTATTTATTCTATCGATATTTTAGCGTTCTTTCATCTCTTTTTTTCTCTCATTTTCTCTCCCTCTTTCTCTCTAATTATTCATATATAACAACAAATAAATAGATAGTATCTGTCAATGATCATAATTACTATTAACATGGAGAGAATTTAATGAATCAACGACTTGCGTAAGTGATTGCATCTTCTGTTGAAACATGAAGTTCTTACTTTACTCATTGTGTATCAACTTTAAATATTAATTGATGAAAACTGCGAGGGTGAATAATATAAATCACATTGTCTCACTCACTAAACAATCCAGTTAAATAGCAAACACGCTAAAGAAGACATTTCAAGGAAGCTGATGTTTCTGACAAAGTACTACTTATCGATTACTTCTCTTTCTTGTATGTATTGCAAACGCTAACAGAACTTGTTAGTTCGAATCGATACTTAGTATATTCTCACTAATAATGTTCTTTTTTCCCTAATTCTCTTATACAATTATTCACACATATCCAATCCTTTCTTGAGATATGTTTGTCATTTTTCATTCACGTTTTCAATATACTACAATACAATGATTAAATTTGTTATATAGTATTATACAATGTTTGTTTTACAATAAACACTTCCAAAATAATCCTAAGGCTCATCACGATATTAGCCTGACGTTCAGACTTTATCCAATTCTGTGGATAGATATTTCTGATAAAAATGACAAAAATGCAACACGCACATTAATCATGGATCTTTCTCTTTAATTTCTTGCGTTATTGATATAAAATTATGAGTTAAGACAAGAATAAATAAAAAAAAATCACATAATTCTTATATATGCCTCGAGCGCCCGTACTGAAAAAAATCCTCTGTCAAAAAGACGTATTCGTCAAATAAAACAAATCTCTATATAGCATGAATTATACAAGTCCATCCATAACAGTAATATGTGGTGTCTTTTAGTTTTTAAACATGGCCGGAGACACTACCGCGTCTCCTGATACATATAGATCAATCATGTATCATTTTTTTGTATCTTGGCCAATATTAACCGATTCATTCTTACTTCAAAGCTTACTCGAATTTAATTATCAAAAAATCAATTCAAATGAGTGTTCAAGGCCCGGTTTATCATTTGGATGATTTACCTGATAATATAAAAATTATATTTTTCTATCCGTGATTGATCATTAAATCGATAGTCTTGTAATAAACTTTTAAAATTATTGCTACAAAATCATTGGTTAGTGATTAATAGAAAAACACAATTTTTACATTATTATTGAATTAATTAAGAGTTAAATCTAAACCAAAAGTTATAATAAAAAATCAGACCTAAATAGTTTGTACCAACTATTACATTATTTTGAATGCAGTACTGTGTTTAGAAACAAACATGATATATATATGTATATATATATAATGTTAACATTTACCGGTACAGCAGCTCAAAGCTGAGTATCAATGTAAATCTCTGTTAAGAAAATTCAAAACAAAGTTAGTAACAACGGTTCAAAAACGTATAATAATAGAATATTTTCATTAAATAAATCTTCTAATTTGTACACACATATACAATCTCAAAAATTAAACTATCAATATGTGGTAGCCAAAATATCGCAACGAGGACAGAAAATTGTCTCGATTCTTTTTTTCTTGTATGTATATATAATTACAATGTGTAATGTGCGAGTCTGACATTCTATGCTATGAACAAGCCCAAGTAGCTCAATATAACATTGAAACTTCAGGAAGAGTTTAATCGAGAAGCAATGTAAGCAATTTACACTTCCTTACACCTATTTCTTCATCGGCATTTATCGGTTAAAAATCATGAATATAGAGATTTGGATTTCGAGGATTTTGAGTGTACGGACGAAGAGTCGCCGTCTCAGTATGAGAGTCTTTAATTGAGTCAGTCGCGTCTTTGTCACGTTCATGGTCGCTCAACTCCTGGGAAAATTCTCTTTGAAGGACGTTTCTGACCTCTTGAGGTATGTCCTCTTCCTTGACCTCTTGCAAAACGTTTTCCAGCTCTGAATTTCTTATGTAAACTAACATATAAGCGTTAGTGCAATGTTTCACAGCCATAGACATATCCTCGTCTTGACCACCGTAGTTATGTTCAATAGCTTCCTGCTTTGTACATCGTGAGACAACATCGTCGTCGAACTTACACCACTGCCACAGAACAGATTGAAAAGTTTCAGAAAGATGTTGCAACATAATAGAACATTTAGATCATACAATTTTTGTTGAAATTTACTTATTTAAAAAAAAAAAAAAAAAAAAAGTATGCAATTATCCTGGGTAATTACAATCATACTCTCCGAATTTTAGTATGAAATAAATACAAAAAAATATATGAATAAGGACAAACTAATTTAATTACAATTAAAAAAATAGATTTACGATAATTATTGTATCTATATACATTCGTCTATATATATTATAATTATACAATAGTATAAAAATCAAAAAAGTATACATCAAAATATATTAAGTAAAATATTTATGAATATATATTTAATTCATATAATAGATATTAACATTAAACTTGAATATAAATTTTTTGCTTACCCTGCCATCGCCAGCGGGATTAATAAATACAACATAATGTCCTCCATGATTATCGCCACTATGAACCAGAACAGCGTGTAATGTGTAATCCGCACTTGTCGCTTCTTTGTTCTGCAGGTATTTTCCAAGACTAATTTTCTCATAAAATTCAAACCTTTAAAAATAAAATGTACACAACTATATATTCATATGTCAAAAAATAAAATCTCAGATTTATATTTTTTATCTTTGTAAAAAGAAGAAAAGAGCCGACTTCTGCTCAAAAGGGTGCAATATTTTTTATAAATTTTGAGATCTGAATATAATATTAATAAAAAATTCTGATTGTGAGTGGGAACATCTAAAAAAGAAAATTGAGCACAAACATTTCAATGGTTCTGTTCAATTTTCGAGGTCTCCAAATGCCCCCAAATTTTTTAATAACTTTATAATTTATCCTAAAGAATAAAATCTACAAAAAAAAAAAATACTTTCTTTTACTTACATCGTTTTGAGCAAAAAAATGACCCTTTTCTAATATTCTCAAAGAAATTAGAGCAAACTTTTGCCTAAAAAGGTATAACTAAAAAAAATAGTTTTTGTAGATATTGACTTTCTGGAAACGGCAAAGTTATTAAAAAGCTCATGGTGTTTGGGGAACACCTTGAAAATTAAGCAAGAATATTGAAATTTGGATAAATTATATTCGTATTCAATTTTCAAAATATTCCTTAAACATTACGAAGTTTTTAATAATTTTATGATATCCAGGTCAAAATCTATAATAAAACATTATTTCTTTTATTACACATTTTTAAACAGAATTGGCCCCTTTGTAATTTTTAAAATAAAATCATATTATGTGATCATTATAATTAAAATAAGCAAGTTAAATTTCTTACCTGTCGTTAAATTTGACTGAACAATCCGTAACTGGATCATATTGAAAACGCATTAAATGTAGATGTAAAACTGGTGGAAATGATGAAAAGATGACGCCTTTTTCCGCTTCTTGTAATCCGTGTTCTCCTGCATCGTATTTATTATCGCCGTCGAGACTTTCTGTACTCACATAATCACTAAAAGACTCGTAAACTAAAAAATATAATAAATTTATTAATTCTTTGTTACTCAAATATCATAGATAAAGCTATAATGTTAATTTTGATACTTACTGTTTTTCTTGCCCTTTATATTTAACTGTATGTCATAAAATGTTTCAACTCTTGTGGATTTATAGTCTATATTTTTACACTTGATAAAAGAGACCATTTTTCCTTCAAACAATTTTGGCACTGTACCTTCCACGCACGTTCCCTTCATTTTGCTCTCCAACTTGTCTAATAGCTAAATTTTCACATGATTAGTTTGTGTATATACTTATATAAAATGTGCGTGTGTATATGTACACGTTTAATATGTACACATATATGCAGGATGTCCTATTTTTATAAAAACAGCGAATTTTTAAAAATCACGAGATTTTAGAAAAATCGAGATCAAACTAATGGTACCCATTTATGACCGCTTTCGAATTTTACAATCTTTGTATAAAGTATTTTCCTCTAAAAATATGAAATTTTCAGAAATTGACTGTTTTAAATAAAATGGAACGTCCTGTATATACGTGTGCATATACAAAAAATGTATGCAATAAAATGTTACATACTAAAAGTTCAAGTATATTATATAAAAATTTATGCAATAAAATTTAACATATTTACCACTCGTAAAAATTCCTGCACATCATGCTGCATGAAAGAATCCAGCGTTTCCCATCCAAAACTTTTGGTCAATTTCTTTGTACCGACAGGTTTGTCGGAAAACTGTAATTCATGAAATACCCTTTGTAAGGCTAGTGCAACACTCTTACTCGAATCGTCGCTCTCTGTTGGCATTTTGTATACTGCCTTTCGCAACTAAAGAGAACAAGAATAAATTAATAAAAAAAAATGAAAGATGATTTATCATATATCATAAAAATACCTTCACTTACTTGATTTGTAAAATAAAGAGTTTGCAATAAAGAATTCATATAACATGTAGCACCCTGATTTTTCAAGCCTACATATCCTGTGTGTTTTTTACTGTCCCAACTAACTCCATGAGGTGCGTCAGCCACTACATGAACCTAAATTAAATAAAACATCACACAAAAATGTAACATAAATATGAAATATGAATCTTATGGAATTATTAGTATTCTTTAATATTAATTAACATGTCTTTCATATATAAATGTCATTCAATTTCAAGAAAAACTCCTATAAAGCCAAATAATATGTTGTCTTATAAATTAAAAATTCTATAAATTTTTAACAAAAATATTTTAAGACAAAAAATTATGAAAGAAAACTTGGCTTCCTAGTTCTCCATGAAAGTATTATTCATATATTTGACACATATATTAATTCTATCAAAATTCTGTTTAACATGATATATTTTGTTACAGAAATATTTCAAGATTCCTGAGCAGTCACCAACGTCAATGTCAGAAGCAAGAAATAACACGCTATTTTTTATTACATACTATTTGTATTGTGAATAAAGACAATTTGAATAAAACAAAATGAAATTGCGCTTTAAAACATTTGTAAAAATAGACAAAAATTATGCCAATTCCACCTGACAGTCAGTAAATAATCGTAAAAAGTAATAAAAGGCACGTGAAAATAGACTACGCATGCACATTGATTAAACATTTTTTACGATTATTTACTATCAAAATAAGGATAGCTTTCATCTATTTTTACAATAATTTTAAAGCAATCTGAACATTTTGTTTTATTCACAAATGTCTTTATTTACAAATGGCACATAATAAAAATCAACGTGTCATTTCTTGCTTCTAACGTTACGACTCAATATGGCTGCATTGACTATTCAAGAACCTTTATATATAGATATTTGTAGATATATTTAAAAATTATAAGTAATTATAAGTAAATTATAGTAAACATTGCTATAAATTTCATTATAAAATAATTACATTATAACAATAAGTATCTAAATCTAAATAGTTCAAAAAAACTAAAATTTAAAATAAAGTTAACAAAGGATAATAAGGCATGAAGTTGATATTTTTAAAAAACAAAAATATAATAAAATTAAATTGCAATATTTTCTTCAAATGTTTCGATCTACATTAAATTAAGTATCCTCAATAAATAAAATAACTTACAAATGAATCATAATTAATTATATTGTTTTAATATAACTGAAGTAAAAAACAAATCTAAACAGAATGAGAAATATTGAAAGAAATTAGTACTATTTAAAACAAATTAATAAAGAAATATATTACAAACCTCAAGAGTGATTGAATCGTCTTTTATGAAACCTCTATCAGGATCTAGAACATCTTGCCATGTCATAAAATGACTAAAGCCCCAGTCATTCTCTTTACTGTAGAAGAGGTGTTGAATTTCTATGAAAATATAATACATTATATTGCAAAGCAATGTATTGATTTCAATCTTAAATCAGAATTAATGCCGATCAATACATAAATGTATTAAAGAAGAGGGAATTTCATTTACTTCTGCTAAATGGTTCTTGTCCTTCTTTGCAAGAAAGAAGACGTAGCTCAGCAACAGCGTAACAACTCCAAGACGTGGATTCGCTCTCTCCATTACACTGAAGGAAAAATCCAAGAGATCTTTGTGGTTGTCTCTCTTGTGTTTGACTTGATCGTGGCATCACCATTATTTTCCATGGTAAATTACGAACATAACATGCAGGAGACAATTGTGAATCTTTCATCTTAGATATATTCTCAACAGTATATCGAAAAGTAGCTTCTGATCGGGCCTCATCTAATATATACAAAAGAAATATATAGAATTTATGAAATATATTAAACACAATAAATATATAAAAGTGTTAATGTCAAATAGACAAAAGTAAAATTAAAGTTATTTAAAGAGCATAAATTTTGTTTATATTTATTAGACAAAACACACATACATTATAAAAATGTTATACACATACACATATATACACATGTATATATATATTGCAAGATTATCTCTAAATTATATCTCCAAAATAATTTAAACAAATAAAATAATATGAAACATTAGATTCATCATACCTTCCTCCATTTCTTGATCTTGAACTATACAAGCTAATTCTGGTTCACCATTTATAGGACGGTTGTCAGTTCCGTCTCCCCCACCATCATTTGGGGTTTCTATAAAAGTTAATATTTATCTTTTTAACAGTAGACTAAACCTAATAAATATTTTACAATGAAAAAAGATTTAAAATACAAAATAATAAAAATAAAAAATTTAACCCTATATTTCATTGTATAAGTTAATTTTACCATATAAACTTGTATATGTATGCCATACTTTTATATATCAAATTATATACTAATAATATAAATATTTTAACACAAATAACTGCAGTAGTACTTAACATTATGGAGTAATCGATATGAAATAGTTGATTTACCTAGAGAAACATAGCAATTCTGAAAGATCTTTTCTAAAAAAACATAAAAATTACAATGTATGGAATGACACTTCATGTGGAATGTTTTGATGGCAAATGTAATATTGATTACAGTAGGGTTGGAAGAAAACAAAGGGAAAATAAACGAATTGGCCACCAACTGAACATTATAAATTAATATTCACACTTTACAACAGCACTAAGTATACTGTTTCTTTCACTGTAAATTTAATATTATATAAAAAAATACAGAATCACATCAGTTTATCATCAATTTTTACATATACTGTGGAAAAGGTTGATCAAATATTGACTGTTCAGTAGCCATACGTAGTACAAAAAGCTTTATCAGTGGTGATTACATTTATATATCCACGAAAATTTCTGATAATAAAACTATGACGTAATACCTCCTTCTATATTATCTATCTATAATCAGATATATTTAATTTTCCATCAATGAGAGTTACTTTTAAGATTTATAGTTATTGTAGGTAATATGTCATATTATATATGTATATATATATATATTACATGTGTAAAAAACAACATATCTTACTTCTCACATTGAATAAAATATGAAAAAAAAACCTCAAGAGTACTGTATAACACAATAATATAATATTATATGATTCGCGTAACATTGTTAACACCAGCCACGGTTCAACTATATTAAGACTATAATTTATAAGATTTCCTCGACCTTCTTTAGTAATTGTAAAAAAAATGTTTATGAAAAACTGACACGTACCATCTCATTTATGTATATAAATACGTACTGATCATTATTTTCTAATATTCAATGTCAATAGTATAAATATTACAAATTATTCTTATATATACAAATCCAAATGGAACAAAAGTTTGACGAGCGCTAGTGGCGCTAATTAACATCATAGGAAGCCAATCACGAACGTCCAATATCAAGTCACCGTGCTAGCAGAAGCAACGCGCGAGATAAATAAATTGCTTGCTAGGTCCTTCTGTATAATAATCTGCAGATGCACGAAAAAGCTTGCACCATGTCTTTCCTCTAAATATAAAAACGATTCCACAAACATGCGCTTACGATCTTACGATCGGGCGAAAAAAAAAAATAAAAGAAAATTCGAAGAAAGTTGGCGAAGAGCTCCGACATAGAAGAGTCGCTCTCCCTCTCAACCCCTCTCCTTCTCTCTCTCTCTCTCTCTCGCTCACACACACGCACACGAGTACGCGCGCTCACACACACGCACACGAGTACGCGCGCGCACGCATACACACACTCCCTTGCTCTCTCTTTCTCTGCCCCCTTCCCTCACCCTCTCCCTCCCTTCCTTCCTCCTTCCTTCCTCTTCCTTATTGAAAGCTCTTGCACTTACGTTTCCAGCAAAGGAAGGTGAGAAAGAGAGAGATAGATATATATATACACAGATTATATACCTAGCTACATATGTATATTATACATGTAGCAAAATAGGTAGAAAGGTGGTAGGATATAGATGAAAAGATAAATGGACAGATACGAAAAGATAGACCGAGAGGTGCACTCACCCTCCTGTGTGTCCATCTCTTCGACCTCGTTAACCTGAATGGGTGCGAGGCTAAGCTGCTTGAGATTCTCCTGATCGTTTACGTGGTTCATCGCGAAGCCGATGTTGATGGTCGTTTTGATGGCGCCGGGTACCTCGTTGACGGCCTCCGCCGTCGAGGTTACGTTGGTTGGGTTGATCAGCGCCTGCTGCTGTTGCTGATTGTTCTCCGCTGCTAGCTGCGCGGTCGCAAACGGTACGCGATTCCGGTAAGAAGGAGGAGAAGGAGGAGGAGTCGTTTTACCGAGCGCCTTTCTGATCTGTACCGTAGTAGCAGGTGAAGTCCGATCCTGTTGTTGCTGCTGCTGCTGCGACGACGGCGACAATTGACGTTGCTGATAATGCGATTGTTGCGACTGCTGCCGCTGTTCCGTTCCTATGATTACCCGGCTACTATCGAAGCTCACGTCGCCACTCGACAGCGACGTCGCTTTACCACACTCCGACGATAGATGTTTGCTCGCAGTTCGCCCAATTTCTGCGGCCATCAAGTGCCCCCACTCGTACGGGGGACGCCCACAGCATATATTCCACCCTCCGTATTATTAAATAGCTAAGTACGCGACTCGAGTACCCGTACTACCCGTTATACTGGTTGTACACGTACTCTATTCCCTTCACGCACCTCCGAATGTCGCCACGACTGCGATCGGTGTGTGTGGATCGCGGCAATCTTCGTGACGGTGGCAACGGATTGTGACGATGTTTGTGGTGGTAGTTGTACGACTGCTGCCACTGCTCACCACTATTCGTGTCTAAGCTAACGACGATAGTGGTGTGGTATTGGTGATGCTAATGGTGTTAGTCGCAACGACGGTGGTGATGACGATGGTGGTGGTGGCGGTGGTGGCGGCGGCGGGCAACGACGACGGCCGTCTCGCCTCTCGTTCCGGCGCGGCGCCTCGCGCACCGACCTCCCCCCCTTCCTCCCTGCCGTGCGCGCGCGCAAAGGTCCCGATCCGTGAAACTGTGTTTCCGCTGCGCGCTTTACCGGCGCTCAGCGAACGACGCGCGCGATCACCGATTGACTACGCCAACGGTTTTGTGTACGACGAGGACGACGATCGCAAACGACGTTGGCGATATCGAGCGCGCGCGCGCGCGCGCCGTTATTCACTTCGCGTTCTTTCGCTCCCTCTCTTTCTCTCCCTCTTTCTCGTATCTGCTTGTCCGTCGCCACCACGGGATCCCGCGATCGGACTCACACACACACACTCTATTTCTCGATCGACTTGCTGTGACTTTCGTCTTCGGCGAGCGAACCTACCTGTATCGTTGTTCTTGCAACAGATCCTTTCCTTTCTTTTTTACTATTTCCCACCTTCCAGCTCGTCAGGCTGGACGTTTATTTCGAACAACACGAACGAATACGCGCGAGCCGATCTCGTACGTCGCGATCGTCGTTCACGGATCTCTCTCTGTCTCGCGAAAATAAACAAAATGGCGGCGACTCCGGCTGCACGGTTGCACTCACAGATTTCTATATATTACACTAGACTTCCCGCAAACTCCCCACATTTTCTTACGTAAAAGTGCTGCCTGCGCGAATTAGATACGCAGAATAAGACCGTCACGTGACCCCCACGTATGTACAGAAAAGAGATGCCAACAGGTCATGTGACCAGTCTCTTCGTAATTGATTCGAAATATCGTATATATCCATAAATTTCCCTAGATATTCTAATGCAACTTTAGCAAATGCATGAACATTTTTTACAGATCCAGAATATCAAAGAGCATAACGGACGGCACTTCCACTACGAGAGTCACTTATAACAACGTGGCAAAAGTAGAGAGATATTAGGAACGTCCTTTAAGAACTTGTCCAATATGGAAAGGCGGGTACGAGCCGGAGAGTCGATAAAGCCAGTTCTACAATAGTAATATAGTAGCTGTAATCAACGACATACATAGACCAAGTATTCTGTTTGTAGCTTGAAGCTAGAAGTTGGTAGTTTAAAGCCCAAGACACAATGCCAGGGAATAGCGATAGTGATAAGTTTCAACTTATCAAAAATGTGTATTCCGATGTATTCAATTTCTGATAAGTTGAAACTTTTATCGCTATCGCTATTCCCTCGCATTGTGTCTTGGGCTTAACTGGGCCCATTGCGTCTCTTTCTATCTTGAGAGAGAGAGAGAGAGAGAGAGAGGTGTTCTCGACAGTCGCATAGGACTTATCTATGCCGGTTCTACATTAGTTGCAAGCCGATCGCAAGTTTGTTGCGACAGCCAATCTGAAGCGTTGATTTCCAAGCTTGCGAAATGCAAGCTTGAGATTGGCTGTCGCAACGAACTTGCGATCGACTTGCAACTAATGTAGAACCAGCTTTCTCAAGGCTGCGTTCCATTTAACGCTCGCAACACTCACGAGCATTGGTTTTCTTTGTTGACATTAGATAAACAACAAGGATAAAATGATTTCACGAGCTTGTAGTGTTAAATGGAACGCAGCCAAGATAGAAAGAGGGTCCAGTTAAACTGCCAACTTTCGGTTTCAAACTACAAACAGAATGCTTGGTCTATTTTATGTCGTTGCTCTCTGTAAACCGATAGGGCCTACGCACAGTGGAACAAATATTTATTTCTATAATTATAGTAACTAATAATTATTGTGGCACACATTTTTATTAATTGACTTTCAGCATTTTTTAGAATAAGGTACATTATATATATTTTGGTTGACTCTGATGTTCGTAATATTAATTTTCTTGTTAACGGTTATCTTTTAGAATTTTTATTAATGAATAATTCAATGACAAGTTCGATTATTTCAATTTTTAACAACCACTAATTTTTAGATCAATAATTGCTAGCGTAATTTTTTTAATTAAAATAAGATATATATCATTTATATTCTGTCAGCTTTCTTAAACGTAACAATAATTTTCCTGTTTTACGGTTATTTTTTAGATTAGTAGATATTGTAATTTTGACATATATATAACATTATGAAACAGGACACAAAGATTATTAAAAGAGATTATACTTTCCAATAATTTTTCCGAATACAATTGTAATTGTATGATTAATGTAACATTGAAAATGATCCGATCGACGTCGAAACGTATGTAATGTAACCGTCTTTATTATATGCCATTGAATTAAACCTCTTTTTGTTACACAACTGGACTTTATTTTTTATTTATTCCTAATATTTCCTCCATTGTGTGCAGAGCCTAAGAAATTAACCAATCATAGTCGAGTATTTGTTTTATATTCAACTGTGATTGGTTAATTTCTCATTTGCGACCCTATTGTTAAACGGGCATTATCGGTTATCGTTGCTCTGAATCTCCAACCAGTTACTTATCTTTTAAGTTCTAGCATAGAGAAATCTGAGTGGTCATCTTAGCTTTTTTTGTATACCAAACCTCGTAGGGTAATATTTACATTTTTGTTATTTTCTTCCATACTCTATTACGTTAATTGACCAGGTAATTATAACTTCTCATGTGCATTACCGTCTACTATAAATGCGCAATTATAACTGACAATGAGTATAAATTGGGAAAGAAAAAAGATAAAACTTGGAATGCTCTCTCTCGATATCCGATCTCTTAACGAAGGCAATATAAACCGCATTCCAGTAGTATTATATCTCGGTAAGGCATAATCATAAAGGCTGTAAACAAATTAATGGAGGACAGGATCCCGTTTGCCTACATTTCAGATTGCACACATCACTTACATCAGATGATGCCTAGTAATTTTTCACTGCTTTATCAATGAAAATATTTTATTTTTAAAATAACCAGCGATGGATATGCGCAATACACGATGTGTGCAATCGGGGCTCTTTAATTCCTGCATCTGTTTTTAATTCTAACAGAATACTATATGCCAGTCAAACATAAGATTAAATACATAACACTTTCTTGATGAAAAATTTATCACATTGTAAATTTAAAAAAATAATAATGATAATATATATTCTAAGAAAAATTATTACTTTTAATTTTAGTTTTTTATTTTAGAGTCTTTCGGCTGGAGAGTATAGAAATAGATTTGAATAAAAATTGTAAACATTTTTCAATGACGGTGGATTTTGAATTGTTTATTTAACGTACAAGCACGTATTGAACAATAGTTAAATACATTCAAATAGAACTTCTACCATTCATTTTGGCGAGAGTTACGAGAATTCATCTCGTCAGTATAAGCGTGTATCTTTTTATACACGACGCATTTAATGAAAAAAAGTTCATGTACCTCGCGCTGATGATTTTTGGATGTGTCATTTGTGCGCTTACTACGATTATTAATTAGATGAATGTACGCACATACATATGCAGTTTTCCGATAACAAGACATCACTACACGGAAAGAATGGTTTTGCAAGTATCTAAAAATTTAATTATAAATATACACACAGATTTAAAAATAATTTCATTGGGCCTCATCAAAATAATTACGTAAAATGCTCAAATTTAGCGCCATTTTACAGATTTACGGGTGCAGAGCGTTCCACTATATCACTTTATTTTTCTATCAAACAATCCGAACCAATTTTGATTAAATTGAAATGAATTTTATACCACGGCTATGATCAAATCACACAAACAGTTGTACGATTATTTTTAAAGAGCCGTCGTAAGTGCATTGCACCCGTTGCACCCCTGCTTGAAACGGCCCTGCTCAAACTAATTGCTAGAAGCTTTTTGCAGCTTTATCATTGTGCTCAAACGTTTATTTTGATAACATAAAATTATTTTTAAGTCTGGTGAAAATTTTTTTATGGAATTCTTTACATAAGAATTTTTTCTACCACAAATGAAAAAAATAAATTTTTAGATGTTTTAGCAAAATTGTTTTTTCCGTATAGGATTCAGCGATAGGATCTGACAATCTTTTTAAACTCGTAAAAATGATAAATTGAAACCATTTAAAGTAACAAATAAAATATGAAGAAATTGTGCGTTTTAAAACCGAAAAATCAATTCGATGCGCAATTTACATGACTATTTACAATTTAGTAATATACATATAAACTCATATCGAATTATTGAAGCATTTAAGATTCATCTTGATGGTCAAAAGTATTTATTCCCTATTAGTTGTGTAAGAAGGAACGATCTTTTCAAGGAATGTAATTCCGTTTAAAAACGATAAAGTTGATTCCTACATTCGATTCCGATCCTTGGTTTTATAAAAAGTTTATATAGAGTTGAATGAAAGAATATTAGATGGAATGGTAATTTCGTAAACCTTCAATAAGAATAATTCTTCAAAATTTATTTACAAGTCTAGTTCTAGAAATAATATACTGTAATTTCGATTAACAATTTTTCGTTAATTTGTTAAGAATGTATTGGTCATACAGTCCCTGCAAAGTAAATTAGGAAATTATTTATAGGAAGTGTTTTATAATTACACTTCAAATAAACTATGATATATAAAAATTGTGTGAATAATATTATATTTTTAAGAAAAATATCGCAAAGAAAAGATATTTAAATTAGCCTCAAAATATTTTTCAAATAAAAAATAACAGCGAATTTCTAAAATTAAATTAATGTTCAAGTTTACGAAATAATGAACAATTTTTTATGAAAAATTGTAGTTAGGTATAAGCATATTTATTTACAAGAACTTAATTTTTAAATATTTAATTCATATAAATCATTGACAATATTAAAAGATTATTTCCGCGATTTATTTTAAATCTTATCATTCCTTTGCGTCAAGCGTGAAAAAATTGTCAGATTCAACTGCTTGACCCTGTATGTTTAAAAATGTATCACAGTACAAGAGTACAAAGATAACTGAAAAAGGGGCAGGTAGCATTATTCAGATCCTTGATGCAAGTAGATAAGGTGTGCTTGTAAGACAAGTTTGTACGTAAATAGAAACGCGCTGACTCTATTTTCCGCCATTTTAAAACATGCGGCTCGCGTATTTGTCATACAATTTAAAATGATTGCAAATAAATAAGTAATAACTGGTAATAAATAATAATAACAAATAAATGTAATAACGTTCGATGTTTACACAGTAAAACAATATAATTTAATCGACCAATAGTTGAGTAAATGAAATGTTTGATTAATTAATAATTTAATATATGTATTTAAAGACAAAAAAAACACAAACGCTGATTACACTTTTGATTTTAGCTCAAGAGTGCCGAGAAACATAAATAATAAATGAATAATAAGTAATAAATAGTAATACCAATGATGTTTTGTGAAATGTTACAAAAGTCGCAATAATCAGTCAACAAAATATACCTGAATCAGTAAGTTTTGTTTCGTTTCTCAGTAACCGAAATATATACAGAAAAATATGGATAGAGAAACAACCCAAGTGAATAATATCAATATGAAACATAGTACGTTATACATTTTATAATTTAACATGCTCTATAATCTGTCAAAATCATATCTGTCATAACAGGTGTTGAAACAAAGTCCGCTGAAAAAGGATCAAGCTCTGATTAACTAAAGCAAATAAACATACGCAAGAACACATTTTGTCTACTTGTATCATGATTTACATCATACACTACAAAAATCAAATATAATAAAAAAATTTGTATGCATGAATTGAATGATTTTTACTTAACGTTTATTAAACTAAATTTATATGTTTTACAATGGAGACGATACAACAGGCAACAACCTATGTTGTGTATAATTTCTACATATGAAACCTCATATGAAAACCTTGTAATATTCTTTTGCTGCTCTTTTGATTAATGTGGTTTAGATAAAGTAATCAACATGTTACAAGCCAAATCATGTATTAAAATATGTTCACTTTTTAGAAATTAAATAAATTTTATTTAAATATCACTAGAGAAGAAATTACAACATAGATTGTACCGCATCCTTTTTTTTTCTAATCGAAACGAAAATCTGAATAAAATATAATTTTAAGAGAATTGTACGTGCACAGAGATCAAGAGAGAGTAACTACATATATAATGATTTAAGTAAGGCATGATTAAGGCAACCTGCTCAATAGACTTAAAAATCTTGACCCCGACAGTTTTTAGTCTCGCTTCATTATAGAAGGCTTAGAAACAGTAAAAGATGTTTTTAGGCACCTTGTTTGGCAACCTGTCTACGCAATTACAAAGAAGAAGTCATCACAAGTCACTAAAATATGCATTTGACGCATGACACGAAATGCCTCTATCAAGACATATAGAAATATTTTTCCAATTTAAGATTAATCTTTTGATTATTTGTTTGGAGTGTGAATACTCCAGAATCATGTTCCAACTTTGAATATTTCGCTCCTAATTGAATACATTGTAATGTCTGATAATAAAAGCGATATCATTGAATCACATATTTTCTTTAAAATACTTACAATTTAATATCACCTAAACTTATTGCCTAACATGTAGTACATTATATATTTGTCTTTTTTTTTCAATACTTTGTTTTAATTAGGTCTAAGCACTTTTTTCTATTAAACATTTATATATGTTCTATAATGTAGAACTTTTTAAGCATATTAAAAACCACTCCAAATATTGTGGAGTTTAATATTTATACATATATAACTTGTTTATAGTTTAACTTAAACTTAAATTAACTTGTTTATAGTTTATATTGTTCAATTCATACAAACATTACGTTGTTTTGTTAATAATTAGCATATTGCTTCTTTTATCAAACAGTCATCTTTGTTCTGTTTTTTTCCAATTACTATATTAGAGAGAAGAGAGGAACATACAGCATTCCTTAGATACATGACATACCGTACCTATTTCATGTATTAGATATAAGATTTTTGAGAATAATGTGAAATATATGAAGACTAAAAAGTAACAACAAAATTTATCATAAAGACGAACCGATAAGATACATAAGATCATAATTAAATTGAAAAATATATGTATATGTTTGTACTTTTAAGAAATTGTGTAATAATTTTAATACTTCTAAATAAATAATGTAAATATGTAGAAGTCATATAGTTAATTACTTAAAAATTATATAATGCAACTACAATTTATAGTACATCACATATTATATATTCACATTGTAATTGTCTTTTTATAGTTTTGATATAGCAACCATTAGATCTACTAGTTATTTGTGCTTATATTATTTGTGTATATATCATTATTGTGTAACAATATTGTATTTGGGGTTTTATAATTAGTCATAATTTTTACCATTATTCTCTACAATAAATTAGAAGTAGGGTATCTCATTATCAAAGAGCATTATCTTTTAACGCTATAGACTATTTAAAATCGATAACACAACATTATTTAACATGACCATGCTATTTAGCAATTAGTTACTAACGTAGTTACTATACATATACGGGGTGTCTCAGACTCCTTTGCGTGACATCTGTTAATAGTAAATTCATGAAATCATTTAAAAACTATTTGCACCTTCAATATTTTGATTATTATAGGATTTCTTTCTCGAAATGATCTCAGAAATTTATTATTAATGGGTGTCATACAAAATGTGCGGCATCCTGTGAATATATATATATAAATATAGAGGAAGAGGGGGGAGAGAGAGAGATGCAATGTGAATATCAATAATTGTATCAATGTTTTACCATGTGAGATGAATTATAGACTACATCTGAAAGGAGCACAAGAGACTACGCGTAAAAGAGTGAAATATTCATCTTCCATGATAAAACGCTGGAACAGCTATTAAGATTCACCCTATATGTACAAAACATTTAGCGAAAGATATTCTACTGTTTTGAATCTTTTGTTAAGATTTTACACAAGAAGTAGTCCCAGTAAATAAGAATATAAATAATGGAGATGTACGAATCAAGATTTTTTTTTATTCCGAATCAAATCGAATCGAATCCAATTTTTTTTCGAATTCGAATCAAACCGATTCGAATCGAATCATAACTTTTAACTCATTAACAACATAATTATATGGTCAGTTGAATTTTAACATGTGGATAATAAAATTATTTTTATATATAAAAAGATCATTAATTATGATGTATTATTTTAAAATATATGTACAATATTTAAATATTAAATATAAAACTATAGTTACAAGTCGGTGGGTGTGAGCCAATACGAGTCTAGTACGCATTATACATGCGACTAATTTGGTCGACACAAAAGCCATTGGTTGGAAGGAAAAGAAACTTAATAGAGATCAAAGGCTTTTTAAATGGAATAGAAATAAAAAGAGGTAAAGATTGGCCGTCTTCCACGATCCTCTCTCTCATTTTTATCGGCCACTTTTGAATACTACTTAGATACGGATCGCACAGTCCATATCTTTATATTTTTGTTTAAGTCCATAGTACACAAAGAGAGATTCTTACTTAATTCGATTCGATTCGTATTCGAATAGTTCGCATATCTCTAATAAACAATAAACAAACGTGTTATTTAAATTTTGCGAATATTAATTATCTAATATAGGGATTCTCGAAATATGGGTCGTGTTTCACTGGTAAATTTTTAAGTCGCAAAAAATTTTTTAATGTTAAATTACATTTCATTATAGTAAGAGTGCTGCTCCCTCTCACGACTTTGTATATGTAAAATTGACTTTTCAGCAAATGGCCAGGAATTAAAACTAAATTGCAAAATAAATTATAATTATCAAAGAGTTCGAATTTGAAAATGACTCGTATTAATGTTGATATTAAAATTATTATTAATAGATATAAGAAATAAGCACATTTTTCACATACGTCTCATACATAAAAAATGTATTAATAAAAGCATATTTAACACAACATTTTAAAAGAAAAGCAAAATTAAAATTAAGTATAAATACATCAATTCTCATCTCTCCTGTCCTCCCGCTTTTCCATACTCACTAGCTGGATCGTAAGAGTTTATTATTTAAAAAGTGAATCACGATTCACAAAAGTTAGAGAAACCCTGCTCTAATACCTTCTTGGCCCAATAGTTTGATCTATATATAACTTGTATTATATCTAAATTAATCGAACATAGAAACTAGAAAACCCATTTTATATGAAATTTGATCTATAAATAACTATCATTATTCCATTAGAACATAGCAGTAAATTATAAATTTCTCATCATTTATAAAATTAGTTTAGATCACTATGTAATATTTTTAACGTCTGAGTCGAGTTACACATTTTGATAAATACTGCAATATAGAATTATTATAAAAAATTTGCCTAACTAAATTAGCAGTGTTACAAAATAAATGTAATTTTTTTGACAAAATTGGCCACATAAAGCCAAATAACATTTTACTTCTCTAATATCTGTGGCACAATATGAATGTCGGGAACATATCACGGTACATTTATAAAATCCTCATCTAGATTTCATTTCATTAAACGAGTAATTTATTTCACTGTTTGACTAGACTTTTACGGTGTTCATTAGTAATTGTAATTTATTATACAACTCTCACTAAAAAAAAGTGTTTCTCGTCATCGCTATAAAAATGGACAGACTTAGCGTACAGAGTACATAAATCGTACAAAAGAAACGTGACATCTATTGTAAGAATGGTATAAAGCGATCATTCTTTCATACTGCCTATTATAATAAAAAACAAATCTTTATAAATATAATACATTACCCCCATTCTGCTAATACATTCTCATAATAGCTTTGAATTTCTTTATTGAATGGAACAAACTTTTGAAGTTTCAAGAGAATCATCCATCGCCGCCGCGCGTCTTCTAATACCTTCTAGATATACTTCGCGATTGAAAAGTCCAGCACCAAGCGGAATTCTGAAAATAAATAGCAGTATATATAGATTATATCTAGTACATACAAAAGGATTCAAGCTGTATGACCATCATCTCTTTAAACGTCAATAAATAACAGACACGTACGTATCGATACCCGGCCTCAATGTGGTTTTAAAGACTCCCCAGACTGGCTTGTGATCTGACGTGCACATACTTGGAACAGAATCATATATCAAGCACTCTATAACCCCGTCCTTAGAACTAGAATTCTCGTGGCTAACGCGTCTAATATATCCTCTGGTGTGACCTTTCCCTCTGAAAAGAATTCTGTCGGTGTACGCGGGAGTGCGTTGCTTACTGCTAGAATCAAAATTCTGCGTTCCCGGATCGTATTTGTAGGTAGGAGGAAACAAAATTGGAGCTTCTTCGAAACCGCGCAATACTGCGCCTTCATTTAACATATTTTTCAACTGATCTTTGCGCATATTTATCGGTGATTCTTGTGGAAAACAGGTATTCGTGATCCATTGAATCACTTCCTCTCTCGGTTGAGCTAGACGGAAGTTTAAATCACCGCACCAAAACACGCAATCAAAATTTTGTGTTACATCTGTGAAAAATACGATATATATTTATTATATATAATGCACAAAATATAAAACTTTAAAGCTTTTTAACGTTTGACATTAATACCTTTGCTTTTGTGCCTGATAGGTAGTTCTTTAGGTAGATCAAGATTTCTAACGATTCTCTTTATATCATTGACCCGTTCTTTTACCTTGTCTTGATGCGCGGTCAAATGAGCGGTAACAAAGAGAAAGCTGGTGCCGAATATCATGAGAGCTATAGCAACTGCGCCTTTCGTTCTGAATGCCGTTCCAGTTCTCGTTGAGAAGTTATCCTCCTCCGGAATAGAGCAGAACCAAATCAAGTCTCGTCTTATAAATAATGCAAGGTGAAGTGTACCGAGATTACTGCTAGTTAGTAGCACGTGTGAAGGACCGACAGTTTCTTGCAAAGCTGCTTCCCACTCATGTCGTTCGGAACATGACTCTTGTGTCCCTATAACTAACAAATCGGGAACAGTCTCTATGTCGGATGGCAACATAAAATCGTTCAATTCCTTTGGCGGGGTCTGTCCGTTCATATTCCACGTGCCGATAAAAATTTTTAATTCTCGATTAGGTAATACTTTCTCAAGTTCCACTGGTCCGAGTAAGGAATTAGCGGCGATTCTTCCATGAAGAAAATTCCTACAAAATTCAATTACTTTTAGCTATCGGATAATGATCATTTCAGATAATTTTCTGAAGAAAAATGTACCTTTCTCGTGCTTTTTGAGTAGGAATTAAGTTAAGTACTTGTGCAGCAAGTAATGATTGCTTTGCCAAGCTATCCATAGACGCCCCTGTCGTTTGACGAAAGTAACGATTCTTTTTGGACAGAGCATCGTGGGACGTTGAACGTGGTTTATGATGGATCGGTGCACTTTTAATAGAATCTGGACTAGAATGTCTCAAAGAGCTTGTAGGTGAGTTTACAATCAAGTTATCTGCTGATCTCCTATGAAGCAATCTACGGCGTAATTGTCCTGATATACTCGGCGATAGCGATCCGGAGGAAGAATATTCACCTGAAACAATTTAAAATTATATATTACGCGTGAGGTTCTATTAATGGAAATTGTGCATTATAATTGCGCAAAAGAAAGAATCATTCATTATATTTCGAAAGCAAAAGACATACACCGCAGAACATATATACTGATGGAGCAAATATACAATTAATTTCATAACAAAATTATAGCATTCCGTCGTAATGACACTAAATTGTTTCAATTGCCGCCTATTGCAGTCTTGGCACTAAACGTGCAGATTCGTAACACGATGAAATTAGATGAGATTTGTCATCATTTGATAGACATAAATATCTTGAACTATATTTTTTAATTAAACATACGCTTATGTACACCAGAGTAAAACCATATAATTATTTGATTAATATATTTGGAAAAAGAACAGCGCGCCAATTATTGCTCGAGAATTTAAATCAAGCAATTAATCAAATTGGCTTTAAGTAACACTGTACTTATTCTAATTCCAACATAAGTAATAGCCTATATATTTAACTTAAATAGCTATATATAACACATACAGTCACCCTATAAAGTATATGTACACATATTTCCTAGTAATCTAAATTAATTAAAGATAGAGAGAAAGAGATAAGTAAAGTACAAACAATTATAGCTGCGCACAAACAACATCACAGCGTTAAATGTATCATATTTCTAATCTAATCTAAACATAAAATAATTATATATATGATTTTTTTAACAGAACTAAAGTATGCAGAATACATCTTGCCAATTTAATTTTTCAATAATGCTGATATTTTGAAGAAAAAATTTAATAGGTACTCTGTAGGAACAAAATATAAAATACTAGCAAAAACATAAGGAATTATAAATTTTAAGCATCGTATGAATTTCGTATATATTTTGTACCTTTTTTCTCTGGTTTTTCAGTAACATGATACTGAACCATACAGTAAACATCTTTAGGATTGTAGAACTGCCGTTCCATTTCCAGGAAGAAATAAGTGATATATTTTCCCTTTGTAAAGTACTCATCCTTAAAGTATTTTTGAGTTTTCTCAGACTCAATCAGATGTTCGTTTTCATCTTCTGAAGAATCTTCGAACGAGTCTTCCGTTGAGTCTGCAGAGAAGTCACTATCTTCACTACTCTCTTGGGAAATTGCTTTTGTTTCTTTTACTAAAAATTTGCGCGTACCGCTCGTAACGTTAGTATTGTTAAGAGATTGTAATATTGCGTTTTTAGAGTCAGAATTGTAATTTTTCGTTCCATTAGCGTGATGCACTTTCTCAGTATCTTCCAGAGATAACCGAGAACTTATTGTATCGTTATCTTGTTTTAGAAAAGTAACTTTTGTATTCATATGTCTGTTTGATTCTAATTTGTAATCCAGCTGCTTATTTTTTGTAACGTTCTGATGCTTTTCACTTATGTCATCATCTACATTAGGAAACCTGAAACTTTCACTTTTTATAGTAACTACGTTTTTATAATTTTCTGATAAATTCTTATCGATATGTGTTTCTTTTTCAGACAAACTTTTTCTTGGAACTGTTATACAAATTTCACTGTCAACAGCTTTTGCAATTTTCTGATCAGAACTACATGATGCACCTCCCATATGATCAGTTTGTCTATTATCAAATACTTTTTCCTGCTTATTAGAGAAATCTGACTGTTCTCCTAACTTGTCTTTTTTCTTAAATATGCAACGTAACTTGTTTAAAAAACTTTTCCTTCTCTTGTTGTTCGACATTTTCGGTAAATTATTCACACTTTCATTAATCAAGAAAAACACGTGCACGAATCTTAAAGATGAACCTTACTTAACTCCACGTCAACTGGAACTATTATCTCTGCCATGTATAGTGAATACCACGCTTTAGAATGTAAGATGGAGGGGATGGACAAGGTCAGTTGATCATCATCAAACTACATTGCAAAATGCGTATAGAAGAAAAGGAGTGCCGCTTAGTTGAAATTAGATATGAGGTAACTGAAGTTTCTTTCTCATTTTTCCCCTCCATACATTATTGTATTGTAGAATAAATTAACATTATTCTGAATATTATTATTTCGTTAGTGCTGACTTGCTTGCTATAACGGAATGTTCTTAAACAGTTGACAAAATTTGTATTTAAAAACTTCGTCCATTATATACATGACATCTCCTAATTATTGACACAGCGCTCGTGTGTAGGTAGAGTGATCTAAACTGACAAGGAATCGAAAAATTCTCTATCATTTTTGCAATTTTTTTTAGTTACCCGATAAGCAAAATGTCTAAAATCGACGCATAAGACAACTTTAAGATATCTTTAAGAGGTTTTTTTAAAGATGTTTCTTTAAAAAGTCTTAAAGTTGTCTTATGCATTTATTTTAGACATTCTATTGATTGGGTAACTAAAAAAATTTGCAAAAATTGCAAAATGGTAGAAGACGTTTCGACTCACAATCAGTTTAATTCATGTAAACGTTGTATCAATAATTAGGAAACACTTTGTCATATGTGTAAGTGTGTGTATGTGTGTGTGTGTGTGTGTGTGTGTGTGTGTATATTATATATATATTAGAATTACCTATAATATAAAGATGAGTCATACTTCAAATTGTAAAGCATAAAGAGTAGATTAAAACTGCATAAGCATCAACAGTTAAAACAGCTGTAGATTAATATTAGAACTTCATCATACGTGTACAAGATATATTAATCTTACTATTTTTGCTTGCAATATACTTTTAATAGATGGTCTTTTATTATGTAGTTAAAAATACTTCTAGATCCTTTTTTATCTATTCTCCATTTAACAAGATTCTTGTATCTAGAATAGTGACACTATATGAAAGAATAGTATCTGCACTGTAGATTGCTATGTTCACATCTAACTAAACTTTGAGTTTGGTTACCCACATAGTGTCACTCACTTGACATCTAAGATGTATATCTCAATAAATATTGTGCTAAAAGATACCTTCCAAGGAGAATATTAGTGAAATAATTCTCAACTTCAATAGCTTTTCAATGAGCTATCAGACAAACAGAATGACATTCTTGAAAGACTAGAACTGCTTTTGGCAGAGATTTGAGGATCTAAAACGACTTTCTTAATTTTTAATATTTTTAAAATATTGTTATCTAAAAAATGATATACAATTCATAATTGTGTGCGACAAAATGGACGAAGTTTTTTTAATATACTTGACGTATCTCAAAAGATTCTCCCAAATATTTGTGTTAATTTAACACAAAATTTTAGAATGTAACACAAATATTATGTTAAAAATTAATACAAAAAATGTAACAATTAACACTTTCACAATTTGGAAAAAATTGTGAAAGTATCTTTCTTTAGTAAAATTAATATTTATAAATGTTACATTATAAATAATAATTTACTTTTTAAAACTACACTACAAGCTTAGATCCGTATTCAGAATGCGTTTTTATTAATAAAAGCGTACTTTTATCTCCGAAATTCTATAGTATGCGTAACGTAACTAAACTATAGCACTAATATCGTTGTAAGCGCGTTCTGAATGGGCCTTAGAATGTATGTTTTAAAACTATATTATTTTTATGTTATGTTTGTTTAATTACTTAAAAATAATATTATTTTAAAACTAAAAACAGTGTCAAATTAACATAAAATATTTGAATAACATAATCACAAAACGTTAAATCAACACTCAAGTGTATTTAAATACAAAAATTTTAACAAGAACTGATTTTAATGCAGGTGTAGAATAGTTTTTTTTTTATTTACTTCGTACACAAATTGGAAAATTTGTGTCAAATTTAACACATTTTACATGCCCGAAATAACCTATTCAAACATTTACTTTGCTAATTTAACACAAGAAAAATGTTACAAAATAACACAAAATTAAGTAAAGAAATTAACACAAAAAAGATAATAGTAATACAATTTATAAGCAAACTGTAGAAAACATGTTTTTCAATAAAATGAATAAGTAATTTATTTATATTAGAATTATATTTTAAAACATATAATTTTATGTATGTCCACTTAATTACTCATAAATTGTGTTATTTTGACACCTAAGTGTTCTTTAACATTTCTAAAAATGTTAAATATCAATTTAACACAAAATATTTAAATCACCTAATCACATGTGTTAAAAATTCAACGCAAAATTTTAACAAGGACTTGAGTGAACCATTTCCAACACGAACATAAAACGTTTTTTACTATGTATTTTCATATCTGAATAATTAAGTGTTGTAATAGATTTTTGAAGCTTACCTTCTATGTAAGTATTAGGACGCTCCTTTCCCATTGCTACATTACTCCTTCTGACTACAGTCTCTTGAACTGCTTGAGCCTCATCATTTGCAACATGCGTCTCTTCCTGATGCTCAACTACTATGGTCGTTCCACGATCCTCATCAATGGAAGCTACTTCAGACTTGACCGAGGTATGACTCAATGTCATCGGGGAAAGTCTGCTAATAGTCAAGCTCTGAGGTGGTGTTCTGCTACGTTCGGTCATAGCGCAGCATAGGGATAGTTTGGTGCTAGTCTGAGATCCATGCTGGGAGCTCTCTATCTTGGAGTTCCTATTTGAATCCCCATCTTTGTACGAGGACTCCAGACAGCCGACCTTGGTCTTTTTGTTCATGAGCATGCGACAGAGGGACTTTTTCTTCTGTTTTGATTTCGGGGAAACCTCTGCCTTATTTGAGACGCCAGAGACGTCATTTCCCTCACTTTGATCCATAATACTTGTGGCATTTAACATAAGATCGACAATTATATCCTTTTGTATTACGCCTCTCCGTAATCGCTCGTTGATTACAACATCATCGACTTTAACGTCTCTAATATAACTAAAAAAATTCTTCTATCGTATTCGCAGTAAGTACGTATTGAAATATATCATGGAAAAACTCTCGAAAATATTCTTTCTAGATTTTAAATTATGGATAAGCTTCTAACAAATAGAAAATTGTGTAATTTACATGTAATCATTTCTGTTTGTAGCCATACAAAGTGAAGTACATCCAATATACAAAATGTCTCACATCTTAATAGTATTCAAGTGTATCATTTGTTGTCGCTTGCACTTTATTATCAAACCATAATATCTATAAATTCTGCAGGATCAATACTGCATAACGCGTTACGTGTCCTATAAGTATCTATTCATGAATCACATAATATGCTTTCTGACATCAGTTCTCCCTATTGAGTCAAATGTTCAATCGTGCGGGAGGATATCTGAAGGTGATGTACCGCAAGTAATCGCACTTGGGGTATTGATCAGTGATACTTTTGGCATTGGGACTAGAATCGAATCGGCTAAATGTACAGCCGAGCAATTAAATTACTCGAGTACGTGCTCCATGCGGAGATCCGCACGTTTTCTCCCCGTTGGAGTTTCGTCTTTTTCCGTTCGCGAGAAGACGTCGAACAACCGCGTCGTTTCTCATTCAACATCACGGTCGGTTAATCAAACTTCGGGCGTTCTCGTCTCACATTAGTCTAATTAATTGACTTTCGATACCCGAAACACTACTGTGTCTCCTGATCCTGATCTGTGTCCTGGTCCATCTCGGTCAGATAACAGAGATGATTTATTAGAATTAGCTTAACTGACCACTAATAGCGGGTTCGCGGGGACTCGGAATCGCAGACCTGCGGCCGGACCGGACGCGTCAACACGTCATTCACGCGCCGAAATGACAAACCGCTGAGGCGCGAGACCCGATCGAATGCGAGCACCCGGACCTCGGCCTCCATCCCCGTAACGGCGACGACGCGTCGGGAACATTGCGCGCGATCACAAGTCGCGCTGGGCATTCATCTCTCCCTTTACTTCCGTTTCTCCTCCATCTATTTCCCCGGAGGAATAAACGAGGCTCACAGCGATCACACTCACGCCAGTCGCAATGCTGAATGCCCGCAGCCCGCACACACCCGCACGTACTGCACCGTACGCACACACACGGCACCGCTCGCGCAAGCCCCGCAAGTCGGAATGAGCTGTCCACGTTCGTAGCAGACGATGGAGGGCGGACGGCGGACAAACGATCCTATGGTAAAAAAAAATTAACAGGAAAGGACAAAAAAAATCCAATCGTTTGAATATGGAATATCCGAGATTCGTGAATTGAATAATTTATAAATTATAGAAATCTTGTAGAAAATATTACAGAACCTGATAAAATACACGATAGGATATTCATCCCCGATCAATCGTAAGTTCGCCGAGATTGATGATAGAAAATAATACAAATAAAAAAGCTTACAGAAAATGTTACCAATTTTTATGGGAATCCTATCGTCTTCTATCAACTTTTTTTTACTAGGGTGCGTCCACCAAATTAACGATCGATGAGTTTCGACGTCACAGGAAACGAAAAAGCCACCGTTGCCGAGACAAAATGCCGCGCATCATAGGGTACTGTATCCAGAAGCACGATCGGTCATAGAACTTTCAATGAGTTTTTGCATCTGATTGGCATATTCCATTATATCTAAAAATATAGACCAAACAGGTTACAAGAGCTCCCTGAGTGCTCCAGTGAGCGGTCAGTGCTTCTGGATGCATTCACAGTTCTAGTTTACATCGCGAGCACTTGATAATTGATATGCCTATTGAACGCGATGAGCAATAAGCGGCGAGCGATAACCAATGAAAGCTTTGCTTTTTCTCACGTGGCGATGCAAAGCAGAGTTCTTATTGGATTTCGCTCGTCGCTTAACGCTAATCGCATCCAGTGTGCAATAGGCAATCGCGTATATATGCATTACTAACTATAGTTAACTTTCCATTAAATTATCTTAAAGTGAAGAACACAAACTCTTGCATAACGCATAATACATAAAGAATATGAGCCCAAACACACACTTTTGCATAACGCATAAAGCATGTGCATAAGGAATTTCATTGGCCCATTTTCTTATGCATGAGTCAATGAACCAATCAAATTCTTTATGTATATGGTTTATGCGTTATGCAAAAGTGTGTGTTTGGGCCTTAAGCGGGGAGCACAGACTTTTGCATAACGCATAAACCATATACATAAAGAATTTGATTGGTCCATTGACTCATGCATCAGAAAATGGGCCAATGAAATTCCTTATGCACATGCTTTATGCGTTATGCAAAAGTCTGTGCTCCCCGCTTTATATCCACACAACTTGTATAGCCGCATAAACATATCTATGCATAAAAAAATTAATTCAATCATATTTTACGTATGTCTTTATAAGAGAAATGATATAGAATAATTTTCTTTATGTATATGTGCAGCTAAGCAAGTTGTGTGAAGACATCCTAATGACTCCAGCACACTGGACGCGAAAAACGCTTTACCGCGCGGCAAAATGTGACACGGTAGCCAATGAACATGTTAGGAGCTGTAAGCTCATTAAATGGCTTCTACAGACAGAATGCAGTAACGCTTGCCACGCAGCGGAAGTTGGCGGATAACCAATCAACATCTTGCCGGCGAAAAGTTGATTGGCTATCGCGCCAACTTTTGCCGCACTCGTTTCCGCGTTCTGTCTGCAGGAGTCTCACGAGACATCCCTTCGGTTAAATTAAAACTTTACAGACAAAATATGAGGCCTGTTCTTTTTAACTGAACATTTATTTTTTCCCCTTCTTCCCTTCAATGTGGAGAACTTTATCTAAAAAAAAAAAAAACAAATCCGTTGTTAAAAGCCCTGCGTCCACGGTGCTACAAAATCGGCTCGAGATCCTAGAAAGAATTGACTAATCGCATCGATCGTGGGACTAAATTGTTGAAATGTTACTTATTAATTCTTTCTCTGCCGAGAATCTCGGACCGATGGATAGCACCGTGGATACGGGACTTTAGCGCGTCGGTTTGCTTGAGAAATGGAAACGTGATCCGTGCCGCCGTCGGTAGGTGTCATGCCGGCGCATGACGGGCTGACTCGATGTGTCGGACGGCCACCATTGTTGAAATACTGATTTGGTTGATGCCCCGACGATTTTGGGGCTGAAAATCGTAAAATCGTCCGTGGCGATAGGGTTTCCGTTGCGGTAGGTGCATGAAAATCTGTTCTCGTATTCGCGGCCTTGTGCGCGTGTTTCCTTTCTGCCGTTCCATTACCATGTAGAGCGATCGGGGACCGACGACGATCGGTCCACACGCACCTTTCGGGCCTTCGTCGCGCGTGTGATGATCGTCATCGACAACGTTAGCGTCTCGGATGGTGGTAGTGTGATGATCCCCGAGAATCCCGTTGTCGAATTGAGAAAAACGCGAGTGAAAATTCTACTGTGCGCCCGCGCGATAATCACGCGAAAGGGTACGGGGGGGGGGAGGTGGCGGGGGGGGAGGGGAGGCAGAGGCGGTTCGCGACGCGGCGTTCCGGCGCGCTCTCCGCTCTCTCTCTCTCTCTCGCTATACTCTCTGTCGTCTCTCTCCGTTCCGTGTGTGCGTCGTTCGTTGTGTGGTTTTTCGGCTGGCGCGATCGGCGCGCAACCCTCCGTGCACACACCGGATCGCGTTTGTGCTCGTGGGGCTCGTGTGTGATTCGGTGTCAGCAGCGCGACACACGTCCAAGCGTGCGTATACATCGTGCGTGTGCTGCACCGTTCTTTCTTCCTCCCCCTCCCTGTGCTCGTCGTTTATTCCTTCTCTTTCCCGTAAAATCGCCACCGTGTTTGCCGCGCCGGTGGGCAATACGACGCCGTGCGTGCGTTACATTCATCTTTCGCGCATCGTGTATGCTGCGTGCGTGCGCGCTTATAATACGTGTGTGTGTACGTGGATGTGTGTATACGTGTCCCTCTGTGTACGTGATTTCGCTGTTGCTGCTGCTATATCGTCGCTGTGCCGGTTCGTCCGTCTTGCCGCCGTGATTTACCCGGTGACTGTTCGCGCGCGTACGTACTCGCGTGCATACTTCGCGGCGATCATCGTGCACCGTCGTGCACGCTTCGGCCAGCGGTGACACGCGGCGGTACTCCTTCAAAAACGTTCGTCGGCACGGCGGAGTGCGTGGACCACGGGTACCTCCTTTCTGCGTTGCCTCCCCCCCCCCCCTCTCTTGTTTCTCTCTCTCCTTTGTCTGTCTCCTCTCCCTCCCCCCCCTTCTCTCTCTCTCGCTCGCTCGCTCGTTCATGACACGTCTTACTCGCGCGTGCACAAGTGTCCGCACGACAACGCTATTGATGTGTTACGGCCGCGCGAGTGTGTACAGTACGCGTATCTGCACAGTAAGTGCGTGAGTTTGTACGGGACAAACGTGTTGTTCGCCACCACTGCCGCCGTCGTCGTCGTCGTCGCCTTTCGTGTGTATCACGTTCGTGTATGCACGCCGTGCTCGTTTCTCTCCTGCTCTGTAAACGGCGTGTATAGCGCGCCGCGGTGCGTGTCACATCGAATCGCGCGGAGCCGATTCTCGGAGGAACGATACAACCGGGCTGATCGTACGTACACAGCACGGAACACTCCAGCAACAGGCCCTGTTCTTTTTGCTGAACTTTTGACACCGGTTCATCTCTCTCCCTCTCTTTCTCCACGGAGAATAATAGAGAAAAGAGACGTATACCGTGCCAGAAGTTCCTTTCAGCTGAAAAGAACGGGCCTGGCGTTGCGGTAACGTTGCAGCAATATTGCACCGTAAGTTCGTGTGCTGTATGTATGTACGTACGTGCGTATGTACGTCCCCTCGTGAATGTCACCAATAGCGACGTCCGCGAGAACAACGATGACAACGTGGAACCAGATCTCGAAG